TGGGTAATACGAGGATTCAAAATATTGGTTTCAAACATTTAAACGTGACATTGGCAGTGCAATTGACAATTCGTTGTGAGTTGGCATAAAGTGCACATTCTGGAACAGCAAAAGTGAAGGAAGTCGAGAGGAAAATCAAAAAGTAAACGAATTGCTCTCTTCAGGAGCGCGTAAATTTTATCTAGATTACTTTTTCGCTGTTTCCCACAAACAATAATTAACGAATTAACTCAATTTGGAAACATAACCTTATACTTAGGCATTCATCATGATCGTTCCATTGTATGGTTTCCTCTAGCATTAAACCTTAAATAGTTATCGTTAGTCATAAAAACTCAACTTCATGTGCGTGCTGTGATGGTCAAAATACATTTAGTTTCACTGGCATGTACAAAATAATGACGTCATTAATTCATAGCTATAATAACATCATCGATATGTTTACCTTTCGTGAGAAGTGTCTGATCATCAGCATGCATATGTAAATGAGAGGAACAAGTCACAGAGACATACCATTAATAAAGATAATAAACAAAAGCGGTCCCTGATTTGAACGTTATGACACTGCCATAGATACACACCGCCCTTCCGAATCACATCACAATCTCAACAATACATTGACGCCATGAGGTAGTCTTGATGAATATTTAAAAGAAAGATTAACATCATCAAGTAAATACCATGGCGATTGATTGTTATTGAGATCACGTGAAATTGTAACCAAATATACACAAAGATGTAAATTTTAAATTGTATTTTAATTTAACGAGAACTATTCTAGGCTGAATCCCTGGTTCCGAAATGGTCCAGATTATGCTACCCGCAAGTTTTCTGTCAAGTATGTTCATTCCCCTCTATATTTATATGTTATTAGTACGTTATGACGCCCTCTACGTCATAGCTACAGTAAGATGGGCGGAAATGTTTTCAAATTGTAAAGACAAATCGGTTTTAAAACGCTCAACGACAAATTAATGTGTTTTGGACCAAAATAAAATATTTGAATTACAAGTATTACGTGATTAATTTAGTGATATCAACAACATATTGAGACTGTATTCTTATCGCGAGAACATTGTCAACATTATAAGTACTGGTGTCGTATAACGAAATGACGTCTTCGAACAATAATGACGACGAAGACAAAATACACTCAAAACTATCAACCAATTCGGACAGAGGTTCCCGAATGGAGTAGCTCCCATAGCACTGACTAGATAAGTGCACATACTGTCGCCGAAAATCAGTAACTTAATCGACCCAATAACTTCCTCCGTACTTTTTGCACAAAATAGCCCCTTTCAAATCCAGGGCGTAATTTCAGAATATTATATTTTTTATGATGAATATATAAATACTCAGTATTCCTCACTCGAATGATGTCATCTTAGACTCGTGACTTCCCGCACAGTTGTGCGGCTGTCAAACGGAAATTCACTCGTCCGTAATGACGTCATAACTTTTGGAATATCTGGGGATTAAATATAAATATTATAATTATATTGAACAATATGATGCAGAAAGTGTTGGTCATGTTATCGTGAGGGCGCTAGTCATAACACTCTATGGGCCTATACTACAGATTCTCTCAGTTCGTGTAAAAGCTTGTGCATAGTGTAAATTTGCCGGAATTGCGTCAGTGATTTATTTGTTTGTTAATTACCGCAATTAATGACGTTCTTATGGGCGTCGAGTTCGCTGAACATGCTTGTATGAAATATTGCAAGCTGCGTATCAATGTGAGGACCAAATATGGTAAAATGACATTGTTTTGGACATTTCGTTAACTTTATCCGCAAATGTGATATTGTCAGTAAAATCCGCTTGCATGTTATCGAAAACATTTCAGGTCATGTTAATAATCCGCAGTGCCTTTCCTGAACTTGAGTTTCATTAAAAGCGACAATATTCAGACATAATCATCACGTAATCATCACGCGTTGTGATTACGCCATAATCTCTATGTCATAAGTAAATATAGTATTTTTTCTCCCAAAATATAATAAAAATCTGTAGATGAATTTTGGTTATGAATATGGAAAATGTTTGCTGTTTATTTCCAAATACATGGGACCCACGTGGGATAAGACGCAGAGAGACGTATGCAAACGTTGCGTTAAGCATGTTATAAATCGGAGAATTACTTGATAAGGTCAGCGGGTCAGGAAACCGGCAAGGATATCACGTTCGATGGTCGTGTTTGGTTAAGGCAGTAATACAAATAAACAAGTGCAATTCACCAGTATTTAACGGGGCCTTGTGAATGCATAAAATGTGTGAGCGCCCCCTAAGTTAGTTTCATGTCACTACTTTGCTGGTATCCAGAGTTAGCGGGACCAGACCAGCGCAATATAAACGTGACATTGATAATAGGATTGTGTTCAAATAATAGAAGCTGACATTTTTGGACTAACATTATGTAATTGAAACACAAAATATAAGTATTAGAGGGATTACAAAAGAGGCTATAGTTAATATGGGCAGATGATTTGCTGGAGCCGTTGGTAAATTTATGTAATTGATTTTGCTGTGACAATGTATACATGTGAACAATTATGTGAATATGGTGTTGTGTGTTATAGGAAGTAGGTGATGTCTTAAGTCTTTTGGTTATGTCATTTGAATCAAGAGGGGGAGGTTAAAGTACTTGATCGGAAAGAATGATTATATTTGTTCTTTGGCAGTGACTGGCTTATTTGTACTTGACTGTGACCCACCCACCACTCGATTGTAATTTGGCCAGCTGCTATTATACATCACTCAGCATGACTAGTTGGAAGACAACCATGTAAAAATAGTGTGAATAGAATAAACGTCGGTAGTGAACAAGGAAAAAATAACGTTTTTTATTTTTTATCTTAACCATCAATATACAACAAGTTTACAAAAAAATTTGAGTAAGAATAAAGTAAAAGGTTGAACCATTAGGAGATACAGGTGATGGTTGAATTATCTCGCCTGGAAGAAAATAAAAAAACAAGTGGTAAAGATTATATATTGTAATGAATGATTTGAGTAAGGTGTTGAGTAGAGGAATGTTCAATAGGAAGAACATTGTTGAAATGCTTTGGAAATGATTGGACTTTCCATAAATAAAATCTTGAGGCACATTGTAAATAACTAGTGAGAGGA